GATGGATGGATGGATGGATGGATGGATGGATGGATGGATGGATGGATTGAAGGAAGGAAGGAAGGAAGGAAGGAAGGAAGGATGGAAAACTTCTTCCACAATTAAATACACTACAACCAATTAAATCATGTGAACCCCACAATAAAATACAAAAATATAAAACACCTATTAATAAAAACACTTAATTCAATAAAAACACATTTTGCACATTTCCACGTACATTCCAGCAAGTAAACAACACAACAATGAGACCAGAGCATCAGCGCATAGCAAAAATCTATATGCCTACTTTGTTTAACAATCTGATTGACGTAGGGACAAATTAATTTTTTAATCTGTAAAGTCCACAAGCTGGGATTCTAAACTGTTTTCCAGATGGTAATAGTTCATATTGTGAGTTGAGGATGTGAGCGGGGTCAGACAGCACCCTCCAATCAAGTCTCATGTGGCCCTTTGGTCCCTCTGTAAAACATGTTGAAAGTATTTGTTTTTATTTTAAAAATCTATTATATATCCACAAACTGTTTTATATATAACTCTTTACTCACTTTAACTTTATACTTTATTACATCAAAGTGAGATGCTAAATAGATTTTTACACAAATAAAAAGAGGACTCACACAGACCTGCATAGTTCAGTGTTTTTAGTGTAGTCAAATATGATCTAAATAATGATAAAATACAATTATATATATATATATATATATATATATATATATATATATATATATATATCCTCCTTCTTTTTACATTAATCTAGTCTTTTATTGTCTTAAAATGTAAGAAAAAAATCTATAAATGTTGACAGTCATTATATGTTTTTAGTTTTATCTGTATCTTTATTTGTTAATTTGTCAGAGACCATGTACAGAAAGATCCATTAAACTTAAATGATGACGATGCACTATATCAGATTATAGCTATTCAGTGAATTTCCATCAGCAGTTCTTGTGGCGGGTAAGAAAATACTAAATACATCCAAATATCCAAAATGCTAAATACATAATTATGTCATCAGTATATCGGCTGGAAAAGTCCCTTCCAAGAAACCTGAAGTGGTCTATGAGCCACAAGTTGATGATCACGATTGTAGCAGGTTTTGAGACTCCTGATACATTTTATTTAGTGAGCAAAGGGGTATAAATGTCTCTTTTGATTAGCTATTAGCCTAGCCTGGAGGAAGACTTCTTGCCCTTTTCTTCATACTGTTTTCTGTGACTGATGTCACCGTTCATAAGGTACTAATTATTCATGACTATTTGGCAAAACATCCCTTCAAAACTCACCGAACTATCCCTTTAAGAGTTATATTTATATATTTATTTGCGCTTGTCATTCATCTGTAGCTAACAGGTGACATTTTTATGCATTTAGTTGCATATTGAGGAGTCTGACAATCAAACACTAATATTGTTCATGACAATTTTAACATTAAAAATGTATCCCGTGCCCAAAATCAATCAATCAATCAATCAAAGAGCTATTAAAATCTGAACTGCCAGAAGAATGTGAGTATTGACTGTTGCTGAGTGTTGTAAGATAGATGCAGATGGCTATGTGTTAATCTCAGAGACCTGTGGAGAAACTAGATGGAGATTTAATGGACTGAGGCCGCAAATGCAATCTGAATCTAAACTCCTCTCATCCTCCATCCCTGCCCGGGGGGGGCCACTTCAGCCAGAAAGCTTCTTACGTAACTGGGATTTGATTTTAAGTCTGTCAGCCCCTCCTGTATTAAATATGATCAGTGGCCCTCCTGTTGTGCTCTCCCTCCTCCCAAGAAACTCCGACATGAAAGATACCGTAAGCCTGCACGTGCAGTTTGTAGAAAAATGATTGTTCAGCTATCCGTAGCATTCAAAGTGACAGCTGCTTTTGCACTTTTTTTTTTCTTCCACATCCGCAGCATTTCTCTCTGTGAAGCGAAGTAGATCTGTTCTGCCAGCGGCCGTCACAGAGACGTGTCAGGACAATAATAACTTTCAAGTCTCCAGCGAGGAGAAATTATTGGATTGTGTCACAGTTAAAACAAACACTGACAAACTGGTCCAACAAGAGTGAATTTACTTACCGTCTTTTTTTAATTTTTCTTTGTAGAATTACGGTTTGGAGACTGAGAATCTGAAGACTCTTTCTCATAAGCTCAGTGCGTCTGCCAAGAACCTGCAGAACTTCATCACAGGCCGCCGGCGCAGCAGTCAGTACGACGGCCGAGCCACTCGAAAGCTGCCCAATGACTTCCTCACCTCCGTGGTGGACCTCATCGCTGCTGCCAAGAGCCTCCTAGCGTGGCTAGACAGGTGAGATTTATAAAAAGTTGGATCTGTAAACATCTTCATACATGCATAAAAAGAGATACAAACATAAACTTGTTAGAGGTTTTTTCATGCCGTCATCGTGGGCATGAGGGTTAATTCGGGGCTTTTAATGATCGATTTGACACGTTTGTTTTCCAAGATTGTGATAAGCACCTGGTTTTCATATTCAAGAGTTCAGCCAGACAACAAGAACGTTTAAACAATTTTATTGATTTGAAGTTGCTGGTGGGAGTCTGGATCCAGTCACGGGAACTGGTCTTCTCAGGCAGGTGAGGTGGGGGCCACCTGTCAGAGCTCGGTGAGATGACGTCACCGTAACTGGAGAGCAGCTGCAGAGGGAGGCCTTTAATGCTGTAAATAGTTTCGACAGCGGGGCAGTGGTCCAAAAAGCGAAGCAGGGGTCAAGCACGGGTAGTCAGAGCTCCAAGAACAAATCCAGAGGAGAATCCTTAATCCAATATCCGTAGAGCAAAAGGGGTTGATGTTACCAGCATCAGAAGGGCAGAACAAAACCAGACGTGGAGCAGGCAGAGCGGTGAATCCAAGAGACGAACAAGACAAGACAAACAGGCATGAACATGAATGAAACGCTGGACATGTACCATTAAGGGCTTGATAGTCTGGTAGATATCTTGGAGCTCTTAGAGCATGCATCAGGTGCAGGGCGTGAGCGCCAATAAGCAGAAGAGAAGTGGGCATGGCAGGTGGCAGAGAGCGGAACTCGTGACAGGTCGATCGACTCTACAACATGCAACTTCAGTGATTTTGAAATCCAAGCTTAGGGTGTACACGTTTAAATTTATTGTGGATTTTCTCTAATCGAAGCAGGGTCAAAACTATGCATACAGGCACAAATGCATTCATGCAGCCCCCCCCCCCCCACACCAAAAACTAATACTTGTTTCAACGTCACTTAGCACGTTGCACCACAACCACATACTTTTTGTTTCCTTCAAAAGCTGCTGGTATGATTTGGGCTCAATTTATGACCACTCTACTTGTCAGAATAAATAAAGTTTATTTAAATTATATGATTTTTTTTTTAAAGTACAGACACGACTTTTAGACATAGTTCCCTAAATTTACAGTCAGAGAAGCTCAAAGCTCCAGAAGCTTAATATTAACCTGCTTTATCCAACCAGAAACCATTCTGACGTGTGTTTCAGATCATTTTCTTGTTAGAATGCTCAGTTTGCCCAAGTTTCAACGGTGTATCTGTTGATCTGAGGTGAAGAGGAAGACGTTGGAGTTAGACCTTATTTGGTATTACATTTACTTTGTACAAGCAGTGACAAAAGTTGCACAGCATCATGCTAACACCACAATGCTTGACAGCTGGTACAAAGATCCTTAGGTTTGGACGTCTCCCTTGACTCCTTTTAATAAATAACTCAATATTTGTCTTGAATTATCCTAAAATTTTCTCCAGAAGACACGTGGCTTGTCCAGGTGGGCAGCTGCTAATTTCAGTCAAGCATGAAGGTGTTGCTTGAGCTTTCTTGGTCAGCACCGTCTCAGCCCATGGCGATGTAAATCTGTGGACAGAGACTGTTCCAGCAGTTTCAGCCTCGTAGGTTTCTGGGTCGTTCCTGACCGTTCAACCTATTCATTTTCTGAAGGTGACAGAGGAGCATTGGTTGATCTGAACAAATCTGTCAAACAAATATATTTTATGGTGTCAAAAAGAAACTACCAGCCATCGCAATCACCAATGAGACGTTAACGGTTCTTGGACTTGTCAAGTTAAAAGACATCCAAGAACCTTCACTTACTAAATGATTTAGGTTAAATGTATTAATATTGGTGTCTGTATGTATAATCTTGACCATGCGGTTTAGAGTAAATCCACAAAAAGTTTAAACTTTTACACCCAATTCCTAAATTTTTGAGAAAACGACAGTATGTGTATTTGCTTGTATGGTAATTATTTTAACAGAGACAGTTATTTTTCTCCATAATGCCATTGACCTTTCAGTTAGCAGTAAGAGATGTCTGAAAGAAGCTCTTATATAAGTAGATTTTGACAGGGTTGCCAAAAAGACACTGAACATGTCTATTTATATGTTGCTTTATCCCTTGTTTCTCTGTGGTTTTGTGTGTGCATGTGCATGCATGCGTGCGTGTGTGTGATGAATTTGAAAGTTCAAAGCTGACAGCACCCAACAGAAATAAGAGTGACTTACCTTTGCTTTTCCCTGGAAGGCAAACATAATTTGAAGCTTACATTTTAATTAAAATTCATAATCTGTTTTTGTTTTTCCCTTTCATGTTTTTACAGTATAATTGTTGACAAAATTAAATGCAGAGAAAGGGATTAAATAACAGACAAAATGTAAAGCATTTTTTTGCTCTTTAGAACAATCAAATGAACATATAAGCAACAAAACAGAAACAAAATGAGCACAGTTATTTTAAAAGGTATCCTCAGAAATTTTACCTACTGGTACTACTGTACATCCCTTTAAAGCACTGGTGTCCAAAGTGCGGTCCGAGGGCCATTTGTGGCCCATGCAGTGATTTTGTGTGGCCCACAACTGTAGTTTAAGAATGGTTTCATTTTGGCCAACAGGCTTAATAGGTTTATGCAAACTTTCTGCAAATTTGTTGGTAATCCTTTCTTATATAATGTTCAACAGTGAAACGGATGAAAAACAATCTTCTCAAAATGATCAATATGAAACAAAATACAAATCTTTGGCTATAATCTTTTTATTTTCACTTCATGGTACAAAGCATCAAAAACCTTTGCTGATTTCTACCAGAAAAGAGACTTTTAGATAATGATTCATAAAACTTGTCCAAATATATTGCAGTTGATAAAATAATCAAGAGTGAAATTAGGCATTTTTAAACGAATATAACGTGGTATCATCTACATACGAATTTATTAACTTTATCGAATCTATTGTAGCGACTGACAGCTGGACCATTTTTCTTCAATCAGCCTTTTGAGTCGTCCGTGGTCCAAAAGGCTGATCGACTCCCTTTTAAAAGGACACTTACTCAAATTACACTTTTGTTGTTGTGAACAGACTAAAATTAACTTTCCAAACACAAGAAAACAACAAACATAGATCCAACAAATCAAATAAATCAAATCCTTTTTTAATAAAAAATAAAAGCTTAGTGTTTATGAGGCTTTTAATGTTTTGGATCTACAACAATTTAAAACTTTCTCCACCAAAAACTAGTAAACTTTTGTCCTTTCTCCAAAATATTGTTCACGTTGAGAGTTAAATTCACATTTTTGTGGCCCACAAGTCCTTTCATCTTGACAGTTTTGGCCCACATGTGAAAATGTTTGGACACCCCTGCTTTAAAGCATTCCTGCGCACACGCTTAAAGATTTTGCAGTGACTTGGTGTCAAAGGAAGAATGGTCTAATGGTTCATTCTAGGTGCTCCTTCTTTTTCAGGTCTCCTTTCGCAGCAGTGGCTGATTACTCTGTGACCAGAAACAATGTGATCCAGCTCTGTCTGGAGCTCACCACGATCGTGCAGCAGGTAAATAAACTGTACAGAATTGGATCAGGATGTACACCTCAGGCATTAACATTTACCATCAGGCACACAAGAGACGAGCGTAACCTGACCTAAATATGATCATAACGATAACAGAGTACAAAATATTTTCACATGCTTGATAAGTTTACTCGATACAGTAAAGTAGGTTGAAGACTGGAAGATAATTTGTGTTCAGCATTTGCATGTTTCCTCTGATTTTATTTTCAAAATAAAATCTGCAAACCCTCATTCTTCTGTATTTTGCCATCATTGCTTGGAATAAATTAGTACAAAGCTAGAACTAATAAAAAGAAATGCAGTATAAAATGCCACACAGTTTAATAACAGACCTAAAACAAACTTGTAGCTCGCTTTGTTCCTCCACTTGGACACTTCCACTTCACTTCAGACTCAGGTCCTCTACCAGAGGTCTGGGAGCCTGAGGGTCCAAATGAAGGGTTCACTTAAGTTAAACTTGACAATTTTATAAACTTTCCTTTATTTTTGAATATGCTATGTCATTTTTAAAATTACAGTCGAGAGAACTTAAAAGGATAATTCAGATCGTTTAAAGGAGAGTTTGTGTAAAGGTTATAAATGATCATTTATCTGTTGAGTTGTAGCTACTTTAAAATGGAAACCATTCACTTGAGTCTCAGCTTAGTTTATAGTAGCGATTAGCTCATTAATCAGTCAGTGTTAGCGTCCTATTTCCTCTCAAGTTTGAGGCCGTTTAGGGAGCGATCTGCAACAGGTAAGATATTCACTGTTTGTAACCTGATGAGACTGATGTCCAACTTAAAAGATTTAAATGATCACTATACGCAGACATTTGGTTTAATGTATTGCTGTTGAAATCATTTAGCTTCACTTGTAGCAAGGGGAAAAACATCTCATCAGGTCAAATATTTGAACTTCATCATAAATTAGTTGTTAGCGTCGCCATATTTGCTTAATCGTTGACAGTCAGTTGCGTTTTATAGAATTAGAAATGAAAAAAGTGACGTTTTATAGCCGTTAGCTTGGTGTCCATAGAGGATAATGTTTATCTGAAGTTAGGAGAATCAAAAAAATTGGAAAAAATTAAAGTGGGGAGTGAAGAAGAAAAAGCAGATAGATCTGAAGGCTGGAAAAGAGGAAGACGTGCAGAGAGAGAGAGAGGCATGCCTCCGCATCGGTGACTCACTTGTTTTGTGTTTGTGCGTGCCTGTGTGGGAGTGTTGGGGGTTATACTGTAGGTGCCAAGCAGCTCGATTTCTGCTTAAATCCACCTACAGCAGAAATGCCAGTAATAACTCCATTTAGACTAATTCTCCAGAGGTAACACGTTCCTCTGTATGCTCCTCAGGACTGTTCTGTGTACGAAACTGAAAACAAGATCCTGCACGTGGTGAGTTTCTAACTTTATGCACCTGGATGAAAACAAACAAAAAATAAATAGCACAATTAAAGAAAGTAATTCCCCCTGATGTTTCGCCCTCAGTGTAAAACTCTGTCCGAAGTGTGCGACCAGATTATCTCTCTGTCCTCGGATCCAACGGTGTCCCAGTCTGCACACTTGGAGGTCGTTACACTCGCCAACATAAAATCTGCAGAAGGCTTGGTAAGACTTCATTCAAGACTTCTACAGTAAATTATGTGAAAATAATAAATGCATTATCAGGCTTGTAGGAAATATGGTAGATTAATTTCTCACTCACATAAATACAATAAACACCCTGACTAATAAATGTCTATCCTAAAAGAAAATAATAACTTCAAGTTAATTCAGTGCATAGCAACTCTAATAATGTTTGTCAAAGTGGTGTGGGAGTGGTGGTGCAGAGGTTGGAGAAGGTGGGCCTGTGATTGGAAGATCGCTAGTTCAACTCCCGGTACGGACAACAGCAAAATGTGGGTGGGATTGGTGAAGCACCCACACCTGCCTCCACCCTCAAAAGCAAGATCCTTACCCTCCACCATCTGCTTCCCCGGGCGCCTTAAAAAGCAGCTCTCTGCTCCACACAGAGGGCCGTGGTAGCTCGGTGGTCAATGGTTGCGTCAGGAAGAGCATCCGGTGTAAAAATAATTTTCATTCATTCAACCTTTATTTATACAGGTTAATCCCATTGAGCCTCGAGGACTCATTTACAAAAGAGACCTGATTTTAGCAAAGAGTGATGACAACAGTGAAAAACAACAACAATAGACTGTCACAAAAAAGGCATACAAATTTAAATTTCTTTTTTTTAACAAAACAAAATAGCAACTAAAAGGACAGTCAAAAGAAAAAGTAGAGAAAAAACCCCAGCTATATTATGAGGCCAAGTCTTTGTGCAACTTAGTTCTCTGTGGCGACCCTTGAAGAAGGGAGCAGCCGAAAGAAGAAGAAAAAACTCAAACGATAGCGGTGCCTTTAGTCAATATGTAGGAGGAAAATTTGACCATTTTTTGTTCTTATACTGAAAGTACAGTAAATAATTGTAGTATGGCATAGAGTTAAGGAGCTATGTTGATAGCATGTTCATAACATCATTAGCTGTTACATCATCTGACATGTGGATATTTAAATATTACCTTTCCCTTGCCTGTAAGTGTGGCATTTTTTGTTTCATAAATCAAAATTGATGAAACAGAGATTATGGTTGTTTTATTCTCAAGCCTGGCTGGTATTCGTTTAAGAGCTAGTCCTTATTTTTAGTGGTAACTTTTTTAGTGTAGAGTCAAATAATGTGCTTGCCAGGGTCCAGATTTGGGCGTCTGTTCACTTCAGTGAGATGACTGATAAATCTGGCAGAGTTACATGAAGTTCCTCATTTGAACAAGCAGTAAGCGCCATGAGAGGACTAACAATTAGCCGGTCACCGCGTTGGCTGCGACTAATGTGGCTGTCAAACTGATCCCAAGTGGGTACGATTGTTTTTAATGATTGGTCAGGGACTGTTGAACCCCCTCCCCCATTAAAGTGGGTTAAAACAGAGGCATGAAATACTGAAAATCAGTCTGATGTTATTAAATGCTTTCATTCCAACATGCAGGTTGTTCTCTTACAGCAAATTAATTTAGAAACATCTTTAATATCGCCTTTTTACATCTTTGTATTGGTAGTAATTCAGTTTAGTTGTAAGTTGAAGAGACAGTTCATCCAGTCATATATTGATTATTTATTGTCTTCATGGTGTACATTAGGCATGAGCAGAATTATTTTTAGCACGTACCCTAATCTTGAACATGTTAATAAAGCAGCTGTTCAGTAGCACTGCCAGTACAATGTTGTCCAAACTTTTTGACAGGTGGGTCAAAACTGTTGAAAGTATATACAGTAGTGTATATTCAAATTCAAAAATACTTTATTAATCCCAAAGGGAAATTAATTGTTGTTGTAGCTCATCCAGGTTTCATTAGAGTTGTTATAGATGCTGATGGCTGTGGGCAGGAAGGATTTCTTGTAGCAGTCTGTCCCACAGCGGATCCGAAGAAACTGGTTGCCCATGCCGATCCCTCCTCCCAGACCCAGCAGACCTCTCGGTCCTCTTGGGCAGCAGGAACACCTGAATGCCGGTCAGAACTCCTCGGTCCTCCCGCTGTCACAAACCACGTTTCCCGCCACCTCCAAGCTCTCGGTGGTCAGGCACTTGAGCACCGCCTCTAGGTAGATGGGAATGCATCCACGGCACCTCCTTTTCAACTCATTTGGGATTTGGGGCTGTAGTTGAGGTATTATTTGAGCTTTTGAGATGTTAATTAGCAACTCCCAGTTGTAGAAAGCCACCTTGTTGTCATGGTTACACATCATAACAAACGTCCAAAAGTAAAAAGTTTTCAGTAAAAATCCTTCCAGCTGCACAGCGTCCAAAACCAGAGGAAATATTCATCCAAAAAAAGCAATTTACATCCAGAAAAAAGAATAATTCAAGTTTTCAAAAGCAAATATATACGGTAGTATAATTTTAAAAAATGCACAATATTTTTGTGGAAGGGCAAAGTTATTACAAGTTTGGTGGAACATTATTTTTAAATCATAGTTCCAAAATTTAAATCTCTTAACTGTTTACCTTGTTACAAAGCTCAGTTCAGTTCACTTCATTTATACAGCGCCAAGTCACAACAGAAGTCATCTCAGGGCACTGAACAGAAACATTCATATACATAAAAAGCAAGTTAATAACATTAATTATCTGAGGAGCAGATTGCTTTGAATCGTCGTAGACTCTCATCCTAAGCAAGCATGAAGGCGACAGTGGAAAGAAAAAATCTCCCACGTGAGAAAGAAACCTCCAGCAGAACCAGGCTCAGGACAAGCAGCCATCTGCTTCAACCTACTGGGTTTGAGAGAACAGGAAGGAGGAATAAATACACAATGGCAGGTGGAGGATCACATTAAAATATTAATAATTTCAAATGAAAACTATTCATTTTTATGCATTAGTAACTATTCATTGGAAGAAATGAGGTCAATTTGTCCTCCAGTAAGCCTATAGCATCATAACAAGACAACTCTAACTATAGGATTTATCAAAAAGGAAAGTCTTAAGCCCATTCTTAAAACAAAACAAAAAAACAGCATTCAGTTCCTTTGTTTTGTTGGGTTAATTGTTTTTGTTTCCCTGTGTTTGAAAAGTTCATTTTAGTCCATTCTCGAGTACTAAAGTGTAATACGAGTCGATTTTTTTCCCAAAATCTCCTGGAACCAGGGATGGCCTGCTCAAAACGTGCCACGCTGCTCCATCATCTCTAATATCTCTCTGTAAACGCGCTCATCTCTTGTGGTGCTGTCCGTCAACACGATGAGGAAGTGGAGGTTCAGATGTAGTTTGCAGTTTTGCTGGGTGGGTCATCCAGTGAAGTAGCTCTGCTGACCAGTCAACAGCTGCTGTCTGCTTACATCACAATAATCACCTCGGAGCAGCCACCTTGGAACCACGAACAAGATGGTCCCATAAACCTGGCTGAGTGGGGGGTGGGTACCTGCACTGGGCAGGACCTAAACTGGTGCCGTGTGGTGCGGAGCTGATGAGAGTTGAGACTGAGGCAAAGCGCTCTGATACTGGTACATGTTTGAGCTTGGGATGACTCTCAGCTACTTCCCCACCAAATTTAACACTGCAAAACGTATAGTCATGAGAATTTACATGTTTACGTTTGATTAGCTGTGGTGGAAATCTTGAATTGGATTCCCTTTAAAATTCACTCAGTTGTAGTTGTAACTTCAATTATTACTTTTTGAAAATTTTACTGCTTCAATTATTTTCAACAACTTCAGACCTAACTACAGACATAAGGATTTTAATTGTTTTTTTTTTATATATTATGCACTTTTTGTTTAAAAAAATCACTGATTTTCTGAATTGCTGAAATTTTCCAAGAACCAGCTGCAAAGCAGAAGAACTGGGATAAAGTTATTACAGGATTCACTAAGCCAATAATTGAACACATTTATTTTGATGCACTTATTTTTGGAGTAATGAGACTGTTTCCCATAAACTTGTACCAAATTACTTCAGACCTAAGCTGGTCCCTCCTAAAATAGTTTAATAGTAATGTAAAAACTAAATATATATTTTTTTTAACTTCCACTGCATCAGATCATTTCAACAACTTCAGACCAAACTATAGACATAAAGTTTTTGATGATAAAAAGTGTGTTTTTATGCCCTTTTTGACCCAACAAGTAATTGCCTGGCACCAGAAAACAACTTCAGAAGAACCAAATTCTTGATACAGAACTTTTATGTCACAATTAATCATATTGATTGTAGAAACTAACCTGTTTGCAGGAGTGTCATCTAATAATTAAACAGATCAGATGTTTTCTGTTTAAATCGATGCACCTTGACTTTATCCCAGAACTGCTTTAGGTCAGTGCTGCTGTATTTGTTCACTCGCATCGTACATGTCTGTAAATTTTCACACTCCACATCACCATTGTGTTTTAGGTCATCAGATTTTTTTAAGTACAGGTATACACCTCACACTTATGCAGACATTTTTGCCCAGTACTTTGGTCATTTCTCAAAATGTTTTACTAATCCAGATAACAAAATCCCCATTTGTTGTTTACTTTCAGAGGTATGCAATTTTGTAAAATAAACTGGAATGTGAGGTTGAGGAATGTGTTTATAATGCTGTTTTTTGAAAGAAAAAAACTCACAGATGAAATCTTGAAGTCTATCCTAAACACCATAAGCTGCTGCTTTTTTTCTTTCTTTCTTTCTTTCTTTCTTTCTTTCTTTCTTTCTTTCTTTCTTTCTTTCTTTCTTTCTTTCTTTCTTTCTTTCTTTCTTTCTTGCTCTCGGTGAAGGCGGACGCATTTTCCCCCCACTCCTTCCCCTGCTTCTGCTCTTTGGCCTGTGAACTTTTGGAGCCTCTTTTTGCATATCTTCCTAATTGTAAATTAGTGATCTGATCAGCTGGTCTCCCAACGCAATTGATCACATTTTCTTGATGAGAAGACAGGACGAAGGAGAACCCTCCTGCTCTGACGGGACACTTGCAGCTGGATACACGATGGATTCCTGGGGGCAGTGGAAGATCATGTGTCTGTCCATATTGTTGGTCGAGGATGTTGAAGATGTGTACATAATTGGATTTATGATAACAGGATTTCTGATTTTGGAGTTGGTGGTTACCTGGCATATTGACAAATTCGGAAAGCGTCGGCAGATGTTTGGGCCATTGTGAAGCTGCCTGGCCTGTGTGAGGGAATGTGCTGTGAACGCTCAGACTCAGCTGCTGTGTGAGCTGAGCCGTGAGCTTGACGCGATTTCTGCTGAAAATCGCAGGCTACTTGTGGCTCCTGAATCTTGCTGGCGGGAAGGAATTGACCTTGGAGAAGTTGCAAGCTCGGCTCAGCGGTACTGACCACAAATTTGGCGTTTGGAGTCACCACTGAGATGTACCAGTGACTGTAAGGCAGACGGGAAATTAACGGAGTCGGCCTGACCCAAAACAACTGTTGTTATCTGAGCCTGGCTCCCCCGTGTCGGCCTTGGAAGGTGACTATCTCAAATTCTCCTGGATGTTATGTGAACAAGATGCTCTGCTCCCACTACCTGCTCCCTTCCCCAAGGACATCTATGGACCTGTGTCAGAGCTCTACCGAGGCCGGCTGATAAACAGTGCACCATCACTTATCTTGGACTATGGCTCGGGGGGCTATCTGGAACAGTGTTCACGGACTTACTTACAAACGCACACATGCATACACTCACTCGCACAGCTATAACCACACTCCCCTCAACTCACCACCTTTGCTGCCCGCCCC